ACACACACACACACAAGAGAAAGAGGAGAAAGAGAGGGGGAAGAGGAAGAGGAAGATAGAGACAATTGGGGAATACTCATGCCATGCTGGGCCCACTCAGGCTCTTAGCTCTCCTGGAATCCTGTACATCACCCTCATCAAAGCCCTGACTTAAAGAAGAGCAGCCAGTAGAAGCCTATGAAAACATTTTGCATTCTGGACACAGCCAACCACTTTCCTGTGGTACTATTTAGCTTGTCAGTCTTCCCTTTGCATTTCTAACAACCTGGAAATTAGACCCCAAGTCCCAAAGCTTTGCAGAGAGGATTACACCATAGGAGTAGATGGCACTCAGCCCTGTATCCTGCATCACTAACCTATGTCATATGCCCTAGCCACATCAATGAAAATACTGATCCCTCCTGTACAGATCCTTGCACATAAACAGTCTTTTGGCTCAACAGGAGGTTTGCTAGGACAGTACTGGTTAGCTGTACTTCAGGCCCACCTATCTCTCACCTTATGATTTTCAACCAATCAGAGTCTTTCCAAAGCAGTTCTGTCTTGCTGTGGGGAGATAGTGATGAACCAAGCCTCAGTTACAAGTGGGCCAGCATGCTTCTGCAGACTGGAACCTTGCCTCAACAAAGAAGATAGTTTGGATGGTTGTAATTACAATCCTTTCCTGAAAGGCAAGGTTAAGCTCCACTTCCCTCATTTCCAACTTCAAATAAGGAGTATATTGAATCGCTGCTTCAGGAGGCATCAGTGAGACTTTCTGGTTTTCCATTTTGTAAACAGCATTAGAGACTCAGGGATTTTTCCACATAATGGTCAATTAAGACCATTTCTATGGATAACTTGAGATTTTGGACAAGAAGGACTGCAAACAGCCTGACCCTGTGCCGTTGTGTGGATCGTCTGAGAGCCACCCTGCTTGCCAGTACAAGCTCCATCGGATGCATCCCATTCTCCCCTAGCCTGAGATGCACCATGGCAATCATCCCTGACAGCAGCTAGAGACAGAAAATGTAGCCGTCATCATATGGGGCTGGGAATGGAGCCCAGGCCCTTGTATACACTCGGCTAATGATCTTCCACTGAGCAGCTTCTCAAGCCTTGAGAGTGTGCAATGGCTAAATTAGTAATTCATGAGATAGTTTCAAGTTACTCATATGAAAATAGGTTCTTAGCTTTGCCCAACGACATATAAAATAAACTTAAGACTGGATGTGGATGGTCACACTTGAAATCCCAACCCCGTATCTGAGGGTGACTGTTGCTGTGATGAAATACCATGACCAAAAGCAAATTATGATGGAAAGGGTTCATTTCACCCACAGTTCCATATAACAGCTCATCATCAAAAGCAGTGAGGGTGGCAACTCAATGAGGGTAGGAACCCAGCAGAGGGTTAAAAAATAATGATTCTAATATTACAATAAACTCTATTGAAGATTTAGATCCACTTATTCTGTATTATCAAAGTCACTTGAAATGAATCCTTTATCATATCACCATTTTAATACACAATTGCATCTATTTCAACATGTTTTGAAACATAATCATGTGATTCAATGTCAAAACATGAGATGATGCCCACTATAAGTTCACAAGAAATAAGGATACCTCTTACTTTATAAAATTTAGTACCTGAACTCACCAGCCAATGAGATTTTCACTTACTACATAAAGGATATTTCCTAGCACAAGCCCTATTTTTATAGCCACACATTAAAATATTTTATTTCAGCCTTCAAGGTAAAACATTAAGGACATTGTTAGGTCTAATTGAGATTGTCTAGTAGGCAACATCTGGCATTTGTTAGTCATGCTTGCTTTCCAAATATTCTTTTTTTTTTTATTTGTGTGTCACCACAACATCCTTGCTTTCCTGCCACATAGTTCTCCAGCTCTGCTGATATCTGCCTTTTCTCAGCACTCCTCCCTATGGGAGTTCACTGCTCTATATCTCTGGATTTGCTTCTACCTGTTGTTAGTATTTAGGCATCTGTACTGGCCTGTCCTTGGGGTTCTAACAGGATTCACCCTCAGCTGCAACCACTAAGAGCACCACCTGTGCACATTCACTAAAAGGGCCCTGCCCACTTCCCACCCCCCCCTCTCTGTTTCTCTCTTTCTCTCTGAATCTCTCTCTCTGTGAGTGTCTGTCTCTCCCTCTCTCTCTGTTTGTTCTCTCCCTCCCTCCTCTGCCCCTCTTTCTTCTCTCCTGCTGCTCCTGTCCCCAGAGGCTTGTCTATCCTCTCCCTTCCCCCTTTTTGTGATCCCTTTCTCTAATAATAAAAAGAACTCTACTTGAACCCTGTCACATGGTACTTCCTCTCGAGCACTGCTTTTCTTAAATTATAGCACCTGTTCTATAACTGACCTAACTCCTGAGCACTGTCAGGTCTGTGATGGTGACCTGACTCCTACGCCCTGGAAATACTGTCCTACGCCCTGGAAATACTGTGGCCAGACTCCCACACTGTCTGCCCACACACACTGCACATTCATCCAGTTGACTTGAAGCTCATCGTCTCCCTCTGCACCCCACTTCACATGTTAGGAATAGAACCTCAAAGGCTCCCCTAATTAGACCATCACCTTCCCTCCCTGCTCTAGGACCAATGGATCCAAACGTTCTTGGTTCTGCCTTCACCACACCATCCCAGGGCATCTGGTTGCCCTAGCCCTATCCAGCCCAGTTCCTGGGTAAGGCAAGCCTGATGTCTCTTCTGATCTACTCCAATGCCTCCTCTTTCATCCTCTCTCAGTCTCTGGGATGTATCCAGACTAGTCATTTAAAAATAGAAATCAAATCTCAGCATTCCTCTGATTAAAATTCAACAACTTCTTATCATTCTCACAGTGAAGTCCAGATCTGACCTACTGACTCTCAAGACTAATAACCTTTCACAAATTCCCTCAAGCAAATTCAGTTTGGATAAAATTCCTTTTCTTTTCTAGAATCCGAAACAACTCCTAAGGCTTTTTGCTATGCGAAGCTGTTTTCTCTGTCGGATACCATGTTTGCCCTTTACCCCAGGTGCTTAGTTCATATGCATTCCTGTGTCTTAATTATTACAACTACAGGGTCTGGGGACTATAGCAGAGTCAGCAAAAATGTGTATGCTTCCAACACAACAAGGATAGGGTCTGATAGGAAACAGACTTGCAGTAAATGTCCATCACCAATGTTGAGTAATAGTTCATGTGCAGCACAATTATCTGCAAACTGAATTCATCCTTGAGATGAACCATTTTATACTTGGTTCAATTTGCATCCCAACTCTTCTGTGAGTAGAACTTGAAACATGTTTCTTTCTTCCTTTCCTTCCTTATTTGTGGTACAAGAGATTGAATATGGAGCCTCACACAATCTAGGCAGTGACTCTATCTACTCAGACTCTACCTCTAGCCCAATGTGGTTTATAATTAACTGACAGAGTTATATAGAGATATGTGAGAGAATTCACTCTGAATGATGTAGTTGGACTCTAGGTCTAGGGCAAGCAGCTGTCTATTTTAATTAAATGTTACAAAATATGATCTTATATATTCATAGCCCTAACCTACTTAAAACATAGAGATGAGGTAGCAATGTTGAAGAGTGTGACAAACCCCAAAATAAAGTGTAGGGTTGTTTTTGGTTTGTTTGTGGATTTCTGTGATTTTCATTTTTTATTATTTCTTTTTTATATACTTTCATTTCACTTAAGATTAGCAGAGAACTGTTTGATTCTGTCTGCTTCATGAACAAACCTTTGTATTTAGGAATTCCCTCTGAGAAGTGGAGATTGTTGCCGAACATTGCCACGGACACTGTGTTTCTACACAGTATGCATGATGGTCAGCCACAGACAAGAACCTCAGATGTGTTGAGAATCTGAAATAAATGGATTTGTGGTGGAAAGGGAGTTCGTAGATGCAAGGCTACATACTGCTAAGTCAGAAAACGACCACAGTGTAGTAATTGTTTAGCCAGAGGCCAAAATTGCTCCAAAAACTCTGGAGATAAAGTGTTTGAATAATCAAAGGCATTAAAATTTTAACTCACTAGCTCTTGTTTTATTCATCTACAGATCTAATGATTCCTATAAAAACAAAAAACCACCAAGCTTTCGCCATTTGATGCCAAGTGGGTGACATAAAACAGAGATGAAAATCACAGAATAGGAAGATTCCCAGAGACAATATCCAGCCACTTCTCTGAGACTGTCTTAACATCAACACCACACTTTCTACTGTCTATGGTACTGTAGACACGGACATTTCTCATGCCTAAATTATTTTTGTAACCCAATCTCCTATCGATGGTCAAACTAGTGATGGTTTTTTAAAACAGAATACAAGTTTTTCTCCTCGTCCTCTTTTAACTAAAGTGGGTAGCAGGGACTACCCTGCTGGACAGACAAGAACCCGATCTGATAACTATGGCTGATGGCACAAAAAATGAATACTGTAGTGGCAACTGGGAGTCATGATGGGTTCAGGTAACATAAACAATATTTTCTTTCAGAGAACAAGAGAGTTGAAATATTTATTAAAACTAGATTCAGTAATACCACAAGCAGAAAGGGCCTATATGAGAAACAAAGCCATATGTATAGGATATTCCTCAGGCAGCAAGTATGAAGCCACAAGGGCTTTGGGGTGGAACATCTACAGCCTTCTCCATGAAGGGAAGGAGCTATCAAGTATACCACGGATGCTCAAAAGGTTACTGGATCAAGATGGTCAAGACACTGATAGATCCATTAACATGTGAAAGAAGTGATTAAATGGCATATAGGTTGATAATGATAGATAATACAGGATAGATGATTGATAGATGACAAATGTATAATAGAGGACAGATGATTGATAATAGCTAGATAATGATACAGATAGGCAACAGATATTTAAAAATAGATGATAAGATATGTAAATAGATTAGATAGAAAAGAGGATGGCTAGATAGATAGGTAGGTAGATAGATAGATAGATAGATAGATAGATAGATAGATAGATAGACAGACAGATAGAGAGACAGATAGATAGATGAAGGCAGGCAGACAGACAGGCATACACCTACTGGATTAGCTCATTGGAAGTGGTCTTAAGGTGTTCACAAAAATGAGGAACCATTTCTCTGTATCTGTAATCAAAAGAACACTAACTCAGAGTTTTTTCTTTTTCTTCCTCTTCTCCAAGACAACATTTTCACGCCATAAAGATCATCTGGCTTTTGACAGAGATCGACACAGACACGGAAAAGCAAATCGACTCAGCCCAGCTGTGGCATTTTTCCTGAGCTCCCATCCATGTAGAGGCTTCAGTCTTTCCTGAAAGTTTTAACACATGAGGTTTTTTAAAGTCATCTCAGCTTTTAAAGTCCCTGAGGGAGAAAAAAATCTAAGTTAATCTTGTCATTGGTCAAAAATCACTAAAGTGCCAACAAGTCAGGGGACAAAGCTGTAAAGAAACATCTACAAAAAGAAAACAAATATTATCAAGCATAATGCAATTTACTGTAACTGCTGGACACAAGAAACTCATTCTGTCTGGCTATCTGGCCAGACAGGGCCTTTCCTAGAAGGTTGACAATACTATTGACAACCTCAAACATTTTGTTTCTACTAGACAAAAAAGGCCAGGGGTAATATTCTAGTTATTATGAAATAGTGCCAATATGGAGAAAAGAGTCATCCATGGTTTTCATGGGGATATCAGAAGACATAAAAAGTCTATACTTATTTCAACTACAGCATTATCTCTCCCAAAAAATAAAGTATGATCATACCTTAAGTTTTCAAATAAGAATGAATTTGAAGAGAATCCAGAATAATTTAGACTTTATAACTCAAGAAAAATATGAAAATAGAATCCTGCGAACTACTGATGGTGACCTGTGAACATGATTGTGTGTTTTTGCTGCTTTGTCTGTGAACTTCCTGATGACATTAATTTTCTCTAATGAACACATTTCATTTTTTCTGAATCATTACAAATTAAAGAAAAGCTAGGCTTCTTCTACGATCCATTGTGTTGGGTTTCTGTGTTTATCTGCTTTGTCTTGCTGTAGAGCTTCCGTTCCAAGTCCCACCCCCCAGCATCTTAGGTGAGTGTGTTGCTCTTCTTTAGCATAGCCTCCAGTTTCTACCCAAGGAACTGAGTCTCCAGAGAAAATGCTGACACATTGCAGAACTCAGATAATCTCTATTGTTTTCTAGACGTTCCTGAGAGATACTGTAGTTCAAGCCTGACATTTTTTGAAATTATGAAAATGAAATAGAGGCCAAAAGAAATGCTGTGCCCCTGTTTGAAACAGCCCGACAGCACCATGACTGGCTCTCTAATTAGCTCTCTGATCTGCATGACCTTCTCTGACCTGTTAATCTTCCAGATTGACAATGTTCTCACAGCTCTGTGAGCTTCAGCCTGCACTGGTTCCCATCTCACAGTCCACTTACTTGTCAAACAAAGACTAATGAAAAAGTGGCATCTCTGCGTTCATTTGACCAGCTCGTGAAACAAGCCATAGCATTCTCCTCTGTCTCTCTACTAACCACACATCATCTTGGTCACATCCTGGAGAGGAGGAGAGATATGTTTTAACAGGATCCTGCAGAGAGCCCATCCACAAAACACTCACGCTTGTCCTGAGATAGGATCTCGGAGTCGGGATTGAGAATGTGCTGGTGTGGAGAGACTCATAAACTGAACAAGAGGCAACACTCTGGAGGAAGCAGCAGGCTGCCCACTGTCTCCCATCCCAGCCACAGTCTCCCCTGGGAGCCTTCCCTCTCCAGCAGCATTAACGGAGAGCAAGCCCCTCCTCCTAGTGGAGCATCCCTGACTCTGGTATCCAATGGATGTGGCTTAGGGACACATTGCCTACACATGACCACAGAGTGAAGTGAACAAGGCTATCACCAGTCAACACAGTGTGTCCTTCCGCACAGCATGGGCTGGTTGACTTGGGAATGATTTCATGAAGTGGAAAGTGCAGGTCTGTGAAGATAACTCAGTTGGCATAGTGTTTGCTGGGTGAACATCAGGACCTGTTGAGTTCAAAGCCCAGTGAGCATAGGAAAAAAGTCAGGTATGGTGGTATATTTATAATCTCAGTCCTGGGGTGCCAGAGGCAGGCAAATCTCTGAGTCTCACTGAGCAGTAAGATAAAGTAGACTTTTCCAGACCAATAAGAGATCCTGTATCAAAAAGCAAGGTAGCCTGAGGAATGATGGTATAGATTTTCATCTAGTTACCACATGTACACATGCACATATCTGTGCATATTTATGGGCATGAATGCACACACACACACACACACACACACATCAATCCAAAATGATAATAACACAATGGAAGGATTCTTTAAACTATTTGTGGGTTTTTTGGTAAGCTTTTTGTTTTGGTTTGGTTTTTCTTTTGTTTTTAGCTTCTTCGATATTACCAATAAGTGTTCTTTATCAGGCAGGATTCTCTTTGTGAGTTATAGAAAGGCACTGTTTAGTCAAGGGAGTTGCAGGGTTAAAAAATAAAAAGGTGGCCTGGGTTTCATGTATACATGGGGGAAAAAAAGCTGGAAGGCATTTACATCATAGAAAAGAGATGTTGTGACACCCCAGGAAGAGAAATGAGGAATAGGAGTAAGTGTCTTTAAAATAAAGAAAATGCCTGGTGGTAGAAGGGAAAAGTCATTCCACCAAATGAATTCACATGACAGGGAAACTACATGTAACTATTAATGCAGCCTAAACATAAGGCTGTCCCGGTATGAAACTGCTGCTTCAGTCGGCTGAGTAGTTTAATATTGGCAGTTTGAAATGGTTTATTCCAATACATTAATATATAAAAATGCTTATATTTCCTCTCTGAGTAACAGTTGGGTCACTCACCTTCAAATGATCCTTTCTTATAGCTCCAGATCTCCTAATCGATTAAAAAAAAAGCTTTAGACATTAGTGTGGACGCCATTGATTCTCAAAGTTAACACAGCTGGACAGGACCCTCTCCTCAGTGAGCATCTCCTCCCTAGGAAGCCACTGCTCTGGACCTGTTGTTCACCTCTGGGGTCATTCCACATCTTAGCCAACTCCTCTAATACCTACCACATCCCTGTCCCAGGCTCCTTCCTTCTGACCCGCTAATCTCACCAGAGCAAAAGATCCCAGATGGAAGGAGAAGAGAGCAAGCTGAGACCAGCCCAGCGGGCAAGGAGTACAAGGATCAGGCTCTCTGAACTTAAACCCTGCCATGTGGCTTCCTTGACATCTTGCGTAGTTGGGAATTACAACACAGCATACCAGTCTCAGAGCATGAATTAGCATATGTGAGGCACCCAGAACAGTGCCCAGCACATCAACTCAGTAGATACTATCAATTGTTGTGATTTTAATCTTTTATGTGGATGCATGCAATTCCAGGAAGGAAAAGATGTCCATGCTGAAAACACACACAGGAGGTTCCCAGAGTACAGATATTCATGCTAATGTGTTCACACCTACACATATGAGTTCATAGAATGGGGGAAAAATAAAGATCAAACAGAGTAACTGGAGCAAACCTATGCATTCACCTGGTTTCATCTCCATTCACCCCCAGGGATGCAAGCAATATCTCCCTCTGCACATGTTAGAAAGAAGCCTGTCAAATTAATCTGCAGAATTAGAGGCAATGTCAACGGTTTCATCTCTGTAGATGTTATTACTGCGTTGTTATTCTTTTTAAATCCACAAACCTCTGCCCATCTTTCTCAGTTCAAGCTCCTGAAAAGTTCTTAGGGAGAGAAGTACTTCTCATCAATAGAAATTCAATTTGCTGCACAAGTTAAGATGCAGTAAACTTCTCTCCCCTTTGCTTAGCTGCTGCTTCCACAGTCATAAAAGGAGCCTAACGTTTAAATGGGGAAAAGGATCTTAAAGTTTAATCATTGGAGATTAAGTCTTTTTCATGAGGCCTAAGCTACACAGCAACAGGTTAGAAATGGATTGGCAGCCTGCTCCCCAGGGCAGGGCCACAGCACAGAGAAACATCTGCCCCCAGGCTCCTAAGGCTCATAAATGTGGAAAGAAATTGAAAGTTCCCTCTTCCAGTGTGAGCTCAGAGGGGCACGGGGTGGGGGTGGGGGTTGGCTTTGAAAGGGACAGGTGTGTCCATGCACAACAGGGGATGTTTGAAAGACCAGAAGCCTGATGATGGTTGATGAGCTGAGGCATGGGGTTTATGGAAATGCCTTTCCTCCGCATTCAGAAAGAGCTCTTCAGCCCTCACACTCACACTATGAGACAAGCAGACAGACTCACACATGAGAAATGCTGGAAATAGCCCACTCTGCATTCACCAGTCATCACGTGGCTCCAGCCATTCATAGCAATCCTCTGGCACTCCACACTGCAGAACTGTTTTCCTTTTGTGTCTGTGAATAAGACCAGGGAACACAGGCAAAAGAAGGAAAGGAATAATTGCTTGCTGTCACCCATTCAAATACCAACAGAGCCAATTTGGAAGAAAAGAATTCAGCTCTCCTCCCAGCAGGATGTCAACACCATGGATGACATCATACTGCCAGACATCCAGCTACAAATGAAACTTTGCCAAGGAAGGGAACGCCAACTGAGAGCCCTTGGTACCACCCTACTGTAGTCTGCAATGTGCACCAGGAAGGGAGAGAGGCAGAGGGCATGGGATAAGGTCCCTGCCTGAACCCAGGCTGGGACTGTAATATTGGGTGAAAATCTACCTTCACTCACTTCCCCAATTCCAGAAAGATTAGTGATGTCTGGAGTGATAATACAGAAAAACCACTGGGAGAACTTAGGGACAAGTTCATTAGCAGAGTCAGATATAGTCAATTTTTGGCTGTGCTGTTTAAAAATAAATTTGTGTGGGGAGTGTGGGGGTATGGTTAGGAGAGCTTGTTCTAAAAGCAGAGGGACCTGAGTGTGAATCCCTAGCACCCACATAAGGAATTGAGCATGACTGTGCAAGCCTTGTTCATATAATGTCAACACTAGGGAGCTGGTACAGTCAGAGCCTGAGAGCTTCCTGGCTGAAAAGATAAGTTTTGTCTCAATAAGAGACCCCGTCTCAAGACGATTGTGAGGCAGACAGGGTACTGGGCATGCTGTGCTGGCTTCCACGTGCACTTGCCTATGTGCACACTTACATGCATGTACCACACACATATACACATATTTTACAACATACACCACCATCACGACCACCACCACCACCACCACACATGCACAGAGAGCCCTGGAGACTCTCATTAAGGAATTGGGAAAGGAGGGGGGATTCACATGCTTGAAAGCTTATGGTGGCTCTCCTCTATGGGTGA